GCCGAACCTTTTGACTTTAACCTTTCAACTGTTGAATTAATCCAAGATCTAAATCTACATGTCAAAGCATGCCACATTCCGAGCCAGGAATATACTAGCAGGCGCGCTCTCTCGGCCACATCTACCGTCGCCGACAGAATGGATGCTCAATACAGAGATATTTGCACAGATAATCAAACAAATAGGAGCGCGCCGCTAGTAGATCTATTCGCCACAAGATTCAACTATCAACTACCGACATTAGTGTCACCAGTTCCAGACCCACAAGCATGGGCAGCGGACGCTCTAAGCATATCATGGGAAGGCCTCAATGCGTCGCAGCGTTTCCGCCCCAGCAATAATACCTCAAGTATTACAGAAAATCAGTCAAACACAGAGCCTACAACTCATTTTGGTCGGCCCTACTGGCCGGCCAGAGCGTGGTTTCCCGCTCTAATACAAGAAATCGGTCAACCGGCACTAGAGCTACCCAAAGCTCAAAGCTGTTAATACATCCACACACCAAGCAGGTGCACAGAAACCCAGAAGTATTCAAACTTCGCATTATGGACTGTATTAAAATGTGTTTAAACAAGAGAGGATATTCTACCAGAGGCGGCAAAAGCGGTCACGCTTTGCGCTTACGATACTCAACGCGTGGCAATGCGGCGACAAAGTGGCACAGTTTGAAAATTATGCAGCAAACAAGGGTTTTACAGCAAGAGATGCTTCACGATCCTCAAGTGGCAGACTATTTGTGTTACTTACGGCCAAAACAAACATTTAAAAGGCTCGACATTGTCAACATATCTTGCAGCTTAGTTCTGTGATTTCTATGAGAGCGGGTGTTAAATTGACAAAACACCAGAGTTACTGGCCTTACTACGTGCTTTCGATTGGAGGACCAAAGCGGAAGTTCCACGCCCCAGCTTGGGATCTGAATGTAGTGCTACAACACACCTCACAAGTGAGGATTATGAACCATTGGAATCGACAACCTTTGAATTTCTCTCACAGAAAACAATTTTCCTGTTATCGCTAGCCACGGCAGCCAGAATATCTGAAATTCACGCTCTAGATTATGAGAGGATACAGTTTGATGACAATCAAAACACAGCACCTGGGATTAAGATGGGATTTCATCGCCAAAAATCAACTACCAGGACAACCAGACAGGTTATTTCCGTCCCTCGCTATCCTCGATTCTCGGATCTCAAGATACATTGGACTTATGTCTATGCCCAGTACGAGCTCTCAAAATCTATTTCGTCGTTTCCAAAACAAGGCGAAGATCGCTCAGAAGATTGTTCATCCCGTTATAAGCCTACTAATCAGACAGAAGTCTCTCGTACCACCATATCTATATGGATAAGAACTGTCATTCTCTGGCGCCTACAAGGCAGTAGGACTGGACCCTCCAACAGCATCAAATCCACATGAAATCAGGGCATTGGCCTCCACCCTCCCCCTTCACGGTAACTGTTCATTGAATACAATTATGGAAGGATGCTTCTGGAAATCTAACATGGTGTTTGCTAATCACTATCTGAGAGATATCACCACCGAGGACGTCTCTGGCATTCACCATTTCGGTCCTTTGGTCCTCGCTCAGCAACTGACAGTCCCTCGTAGGCGTTAATATTCACCCCCACGAGATTATTATGTATATGATACATACATTATTTAGCTTATAACTCCACGGAGTTCTAGGGCTATGTATATATTTAGCTTAGGTTATTCAACCTTAAGCTCATACTGAGTTTTATGTTCAGTTGTACAGCTTCTCTATCAGAGTAGCTTTTTATATCTATAATTTGGTATATCAGTATATTAGTAATGTAATACCCAGTTATGGTAATATATAACCTATGGCTTATTATAAAGGAAATATCCTAAGTCAATGCCTTTATGAAGTTCCCGCAGGGGTTATTACAGTATAAGTTATTTAAATCACTAATTATAAATCCAAAGTATTCTGTTTATGCCCACCTCCACTCCGGTGGATTCTACAAGCAAAAGAGCATGAGTCAGGATAAGGAAAAATATGTAATTTTTTGAGTAAAATTGATATTTTATACTTATCCTGACTCATGAGGTTAGCCCTCCCATCCTCCCCACATAACACTTTGGATTTCCCTGTAAATTCAAGTGTTGGGCTCGCAAAATCAGGAGAGAGTGAAGCATGAGGCCAGAGGGTGGCGACACCTGTTCCCGCGCTTACGGCAGGGGAGGCAACTCTTGGGTGAGTACCAATTAGTGATTTTACATTGAAGGGAGCTTCAATTAAGGAGATACAAGTGTTCCACTATGTTCGCAAGAGGAAGGGGACAAGCAAAAGAGCATGAGTCAGGATAAGGAAAAAATATCAATTTTACTCAAGAAATTATATATTTATTTGTTCATATATATGTATATACAGTCAAATCCCGATGAGTCGAATCGCTTGGGACCAAGTAATAAATTCGACTTATCGTTGTATTCGAGATACAGGTATGTCTATGAGGGTAGAAAGAAAGATGATCAAGTCCTAATTCCTCCACCTAAGCATTTGTTTACCTAATGATTTCCCTATCACTAATAGGGGGACCTTATCAGTTCCAATCTGATTAGCACAGACAGTGATTTCCGTAAAATCACTAATCTGCCTTTTGAACTCACCTGTCAATGGCGGAAAGGTGTGAGCCGCGCTTTTTTGTTAATTGGATCAGTTTGCTACACCAATCAACTTCTCATTGACTGACTTCGGCTTATGTATACAAGATTGCTGTTGTTTGAATGTAATGGGACCAAATTTCCTTCTCGAGTCATCGTGTGTATTTATGAGACGAATTCGTGTAACCGGAAATCAAATGATGACAACTATAACAGGGAATGGTCGGGACCGACAGGTACTTCGAGTTATGCATAATATTCGAGACACCGGCATTCGACTCATCGGGATTTGACTGTATATTGAGAAAGTAGTAGTTTTTAAAACAGTTGGACAGTATATACTCTAAAAAAGAGAACCTGAACTTTCAATTTGGGAAGGAAGTATAAGCATTAACAAACTTTTCAAAGACAGACATCTTATGAACGCACCACCATTTCTCTTTGTCACAACAATGCATGGGAAGAACGTGCACAACACAGTTTTCCCATACACAAGCATGTGGTGTCATTCTTGAATTTGACTGTTTTAAAGAACGTCAATAAATCACTAGACCATTGATTTTGACAAGCATTTTTGCATCACACAGTTGTTAGTGTTTGTTTCTAGCCGTTTTGTGGGGGTTGAAATGAAAATTGTACACATGCAAATATCACTTTCTACACCAATCATCTTTTAAGAGTCCTCCCATTACGCAGACAGGCAGTTCGCAGACACCTTGCAACATTTACAGTTCAATGAACAGATTAGCTATTACCTGTTACCTACCCCTGAAGTTCCGGGTTAGAATATTGACCTTCGGTAACCCATGCTTATCGTAAGAGGCGACTAACAGGATCAGGTGGTCAGGCTCACTGACTTGGTTGACACATGTCATCGTATCCCAATCCGTATCGATGTTCATGCTGTTAATCACTGGATTGTCTGGTTCAGACTCGACTATTTACAGACCGCCACCATACAGCTGGAATATTGCTCAGTGCGGCGTAAAACTAAACTCATTCATTCACTACCTGTTGCCTACTCATTATAATGGAATAGTCCAAATAAAAACACAAGAAAAAATCTGAATCTGTATTATTTACTTTGAAAAATGTCCGAAAAGACATTAATTTGAATTTTTATTGCTGCAATATAAAAACAGTTGATTTTCATAAACATTTCAGTTTAATCTTTTTGTCTAACGAGAGTTGGCATCATCATATTGCATACAATGTCGAAAAGACATCTAAAATGGAGTATTTCGGAAATTAAAGCTCCTACTAAATAGAACAACACCAGTTTTTCTTCAGGATTTAATCCAACCTGTGGTAGGCAACCGGACAAGCTATGAGTTAGGAAACTCCAATAATATTAGCCAACCATGCACAAGACTGAGGTACTCAAATCATCTCTTTATTATTTTTATCCCCCCCCAGCATGTAATGCAGGGGGATATGGTCGACGCCTTGTCCGTAATCATTTTGTTTTCAGAGCATAACTCAAAAACTGTTCACTATTTTTCAACAAAAATTGGTAGATATGTCAAACAGAACCTAAGGTGGTGACTTTTGCTATTTACAGATTTTTGTCATTTATGTTTCTCGGTTTCCATGGAAACGTTTTGGACTTAGTCTTAAAGGGGGTGGGCTTCGTTTCCGGAGCACAAATGGAAAAATTATTTATATCTTTCAGCAAAACTTGGCAGATATGTGAGGCAGATCCCAAAGTGGTGCCTACTGCTAGTTGCAGATTTTTGTGGTTTATTAAATATTATTTTCTCAGTTTCCATGGAAACGATTCAGACTTAGTCTCAAAAGGGAGGGGTGATTTCATTTCCGGAGCACAACTCGAAAAATTCTACATATCTTTCAGCAAAACTTGGCAGATATGTGAGGCAGATGCCAAAGTGGTGCCTTTTGCTATTTGCAGATTTTGGACATTTTTTTTTCCCCGGTTTCCATGGAAACGATTAGGACCTAGTCCCAAAAGGGAGGGGTGGGCTTCATTTCCGGTGCACAGCTCAAAAAGCATTCAATATCTTTCAACAGAACTTGGCAGATATATTAGGCAAATTTTGAAATGGTGCCTTTTGCTATTTACAGATTTTTGGTATTTATATTTCTCATGATTTCCATGGAAACGATTTGGACTTAGTTTAAAAAAGAGTCAAGCTGGACTTTATGTAACTGTCAGATGATTTGTTCGTTCAAATATGTGGGGGCCGGGGAGATATGTCATCTTCTGATGACTGTTGTTAACTTTTGATCTGACCTTTTAGCAGATCTGAAGTAAAAATATATATATATATATATATTCTTGTTGGTGATAGTGTTCTGTTTTGTTCATATTACTTTTAACATTAGTGACATCATGCCTTTTGTTCATGTAGGTTTGGTTTTGTGGAGTTCAGCAGTACAGAAGATGCAGCTAAGGCATATGACAGCATGCAGGGTCAGGAAATCATGGGCAGAGAGGTGTTTGTTGACTTCGCTTCAGACAAGTCTGATGGGGGACGCAGGAGCTTTGGTAAGCCTGTTTGCCTCTTCTTAAAGGCATCATCCTAAGGGTATAACTACAGCCGTTAATGTTTTCAATGGGAGTGTGCAAATCACAAGTTGCAGAAGTTGAAGTGTGTGTAGGCAATGTGAAGACATGGATGACCGCAAGTAAACTCAAACTAAACGATAACAAAACAGACATTCTCATAGCTTGTTCACCAGCCAACAGAGCTAAACTGAGTGTGAATTCACTTAAGATAGGTGAATTTCAGATCTCCGTAAGCCCTACAGTCAAAAACCTGGGTGTCATGATAGATTCTACACTTTCTATGGAGCCACATGTCAGCAACTTATGTAAAATCTGTTATCATCACATAAGGAATATCTCCAGCATACGCCACCTATTAACAACTGATGCAACACACCATCTTGTAAGATCTATGGTGTTGTCCCGCTTGGACTACTGTAATAGTCTGCTTGGGAACATGAACAAAGACCTGCTCTCCAGGTTGCAAAAAGTCCAAAATGCAGCTGCCAGATTTATCTGTAGAACCACCAAGCACAGCCACATCTCCCCAATCCTCATGCGTCTGCACTGGTTACCACTCCCAGCTAGGATAGAATACAAAATACTTAGCATGACTTACAGATGTCTTAACAACGCAGCTCCATCCTATCTCTCAAGTCTTGTAAAAGAGTATGTTCCAACCAGGACTCTGAGATCAGCCAATCAGTCGCTGCTCATCATCCCAAATGCACTTCTCGAGTCATATGGACACCGACGTTTTTCCTACTTGTCAGCTATCCTCTGGAACAATCTGCACGTGTCTCTCAAAGAATCCCCCTCAATAGCCAGCTTCCAGTCTAACTTAAAAACTTTCCTGTTCAAGAAGCACTATGACATCTAAATGAACTCCTATTGTAAATATGTATATAGTTAGAACCATGAGCAACCACTTGGTGATTGAATATAGGGCGTTATATAAATGGAATTATTATTATTAGTAGTAGTAGTTGTGCTTCTAGCTCACCTGTTATGAAAGCTTCTTGTCGGAAGCCCTGTGTCATCTCAAACATTGTTAGAAATGGCTAGATAAATACAGGTTAAATTTTGTGTAAATGTTTGGTTTTGTGGGGTTCAAGTTTGCTCAATGCCTCAACATCACTATTTTGATATGAATGTGAAGTATAGTCCATTTGGGTTCAAATGAGAAAGATGAGGACCCATGGTCCTGAAACTTCTGTACCCAACAGGATCTGAAATCTGACATTTTATGATCGATCACGGAAAAAGTTGTTTAAGAAACCTTCATGTAATATTGTGCTATTTTCACACTTCACACCGAGGGGTGGCAAACGGCTGGTGGAACAGCACCAGCACACATTCAGGTGCAACTCAGCACACAGTCTGTCTCATAGTCCCTGAACCACATTATTTTCCCTACTGCCAAGCCCTATCTGCAGTGCTAAAGCCCTAAATAAAGCAAGTCTAGATTTCCTCTGAATCTCTGGTCTCCCTGGGGCTTCTTTTCAATTTAAATGGGCTTGTTTGTTAATATCAAAATTATATATATTCAGAGACTAAGCATTAGTCTACTCAGCACAGTCAGGTGACATGACCCCAGCTTGTCAGGCACTGTTCCATCAGCCATTTGTGCACTTATCCCAATTTCAAGTTAATTAATCATTTGTCGTTCTCATTTGAACCCAAACAGACTATAGTAGTCATTGATGAAAAGATAACTTTAAAAGATACAAAACTTAAAGGACTGGATGCCTGAAACTCAGTTGGCGAGATGGAAAATATACAAAACAGCAAAGGAAACGCCACACCGATAGAGGTTTCCTAAAGCACACACTTAAATTCGCCTAATTATCCCTCGCAACACGTTTTGCGGGGGGTATTAAAATGGACTCCGTGCGTGCGTGCGTGCGTCCGTCCTTCCGTCCGTGCACTTTTGTCTTTTCCGAAGCAGAACACTAAAACCGTTTACCATTTCTTCACCAAACTTGGCACATAGATAGATCTGGTGGTGTACTGGTGCCTTTTGGTAGTTTTGGAATTCTGAATAAAATATTTTGGTGTTTCCATGGCAACAAGTTTCACTTTGACTGAAATTGGTGATAGTGCTATTTTCTGGAGCAGAACTTTAAAAGCCTTTCAATACTCTCCTTCCTCTTTTTCTATATACACACCTAAATATTTGACATAATCATAACTCGTAGACATAATCATGAAGAGTGATTTGCCATTGCGGGGGATATTGATGACTTTGTCTTGTTTTCACAGAAATCACAATTATATTGTGTCTACTCGCGCCTCAAAATGAAGTGTAGTTGACAGAAAAAGGATACGCATATATATTTCGTTTTGCAAAATGACATATTTATTGCAGCTGGCGATCACAAAAACTGGCATTTGTATTTCACCTCATTCCACGCGAGTACAACTTCAGCTTTCCATGTTTGTGAGGGTCCATATAACCTTAGTATTGATTATACATATTTTACGTTTATAGAGCAAAACCAGTAAGTAAAATTTGTGACATGTCATAACATGCCCGTGCCTTTTTCTTTTATATTTTCATTTTAACGTAATCAGAAAATTATTACAAAAAGATTTCTTAAATAATATGTATGGTCGCTTATTTCCCGATATCAGTGGCTTTCCGCTCGGTAACATGACACAACAACGGAAAATACCTCAGTTTTCGAAGCTTCGTATGAATAACATGCGAGGCAAATCGTTTGATGTCGGGTATCGTTCGAAAGCTCTGAACATCAACAATATCACTGTACACTTGCCAAGAGTATTTTCACAGTTGTAAGAAGCCATCAATTGAAATTTAATAAGTGTTTTTAGACATTGTGAATTGTGATGGATTTAATATATGAATCATAAGTCAGGTAAGTTCCTAAAATTATGTCTCATTTTGACGTGACTACTGCCTGGCCGATTAATCGCCTCCGGTGTCTGGGGACTCATAGCGTTGTGGCCGATTATTCGCCTGCAGTGTTGAATGGGTTTTTGAATTTTGGGAAAAGGTTTATACTAATTTTGACTGAAGATATTAGTTTTGCATCAGTTTTGGCCAAAATACTAATTGGGCTAAATTAGGGTTGGTATCTCTGTTTATGGTGTATAGCCTGATGGGTGTTAAGTTCAAACTGCATGTGGACAGTGATCGCAGAGTTGTGTATTGCATATTGTCAATAGCAGACAGGCAGGCAGACACATAGGTGTCAATAAAACATATTGAGTTTTGTCTGTGACAACGACATATCTATATCACAGTTAGAAATTCTGGCAATGCTAAATAATGACGTTGCTTTTATTTATCGAACTGAGAAAGTGACTCGGTAAGAAGAACGTGTGGTGAAATAGTCAAAATGAAATTATATAAACAGTTAAATCGGTAATCTACTGTCATAACATAAAAAAAGCTTGCGCCTGTGAAATATCAACAAAACATTTGAAAAATAGCTCACATCAAAGCCTACTCCGAGTACTCACCGCCAGCGAAGGTTTTCCGTCTTGAAATGTCTAACGCCTCACTAGTTGACAAATAGCTGAGTAGATCTAGATCCTTAACAAGGTCCTTTTATATAATGAGTAGATTTTTTACTATTTGTTGTTTGTGTACACAACCAAGATTAGACTACTCCTGCTCACGACCTTATAATTCAGGCATCCCGCTTCAAGCTGTGGGAACCTATTCACTGCATATGCGCTATGAGCGCAGCGCAGCACAGCACAGCTGTTGAAACCACTTTTGAAATCACTTTTGAAACCACTTTTCACCCCAGCTGGGGTGGAAGTCCATACCAAAAGGTATCAGAATCTGCAAAGTTGTGTTTTGAGTTGCATGTGACCTTTTTTGCATTGCATGTGACCTTTAGGTTAAGCTGTAAAAAGTTATGTCCAGAACTTATGGACGAGAGAGTATTATATGTTAAGAAAAACAAACTTGCTAGGTAACACCGATATTTTTAAAAATTATTTTTTAATTTTTTTATGCCCCCGTCATATAGCTTGGGGCATATAGGGTTACCCTCCGTGTATGTCCGCCCGTCCGTACGAAACAGGGAATGTACTCTATCCACTTCTCCACAAAAAATGCTCTGTGGAATTCAATGAACTTATACATGGGCTTTCTTGGGACTCTAATGGTGTGCATAGTTTAGAGACATTTGAACTTAGGTACATTTTGCTGAATTTCTCTATGATGATAGTGTAATAGGGGATGAAATCTATCCCTTTCTCCACAAAAACTGCTCAACAGAATTGAATGAACTTCTACATGTCTTTCGTAGGGACTCTAAAAGTGTGCATTTCATAATTTTTTATGCAATTTCTTAATTTTGTCACTTTTACAGATGTTTGAACTTAGTTGAATTTGGTTCTGTTCGTCCTGTTTGTCCCATACAACAGGGGGTGTACGTTATCCACTTCTCCTCAAAAACCACTGCACAAAACTCATTAAGCTTACATATGTCTTTTAAAGAGACTCTAAAGGTATGCATCTCATATTTTGTTTTTGTATTTTTTAAATTTTTTTTGTATGTTTAGAGACATTTGAACTTAGATAAATTTTGTTGAATTTCTCTCTGATGCTAGTGAAATAGGGGATTAGGTCTATCCACTTCTCCACAAAAACTGCTCAACAGAATTGATTAAGCTTATACGTGTGTTTCATTGGGACTCGAAAGGTGTGCATCTGTGTGAATATTTTTTTGTCTGGAAGTGATTATCTGTCAGCTGGAGAATAGATGCATACATTAACAATTGATATTTTGCTATTCGAAGGAGGAGGCAGAGGCCGAGGAGGTTTCGGAGGTGGACGTGGTGGACAAGGAAGAGGTGGTGGCTATGGTGGTGGACGAGGTGGTGGTTTCAGAGGTGGAAGAGGAGGCAGAGGAACACACAAGAAATTTTAAGGAACTTTAGTTTGTCTGACTAAAATGTTATCAGGACCAGGGGCAGTGCCATAATAACTCATCTGTTTTGACTGTCCCATAAACTGTAGACAACTCCTGTTATTTCTAGAAATGGAATAAAAACCTGAACATATGTCAAATTACACATTAGATTTTACATGTTGCATTCCAGTCAGTTTTGTTATTTTTTTTGTGGCTGCTGGTGGATTAAAGTTATCCATTGTTACTGTGTTTCTATCAAGATGTTAAATTGTTGTATTCTAATCTGATCCTACACCTCTTCATGTTATAAAAGGTGCATCAGTCTCTATCAATCATCAGTCACTAGAACAAGGCATTTTCAGTTTCAGAAAAGTGTTCATAAGCCCTCCTGTTGGTGTCCTATAACTGAAACGGATAGTAATCTATTTCTTTGTTTCTCATCAGATAAAGTTAAAGGAATATTAATGCAGCTCATTTTAAATACAAGCCACAAAATATTGTCATTTCCTATCACATTTTCATCAGCCATTGTTCACTATACTGTTCTATGATGAAGCTATGACAAATTACCCTCACAAATTGGTGCCTTTTGGATTTTTGTCCCCCGCAGCAACACGGAACGGGGGACTATGTATTCAGCGGCATCCATACGTACGTCCCGATTCTTGTTAACGCGATATTTCATGAACTGTTGTACCCCATGTCTTCAACTTTGATGACAGCCTACATTAGGGGATTACCAAGACACCAGTCGTTTTGGGTGACATTGACCTTATCTTCAAGGTCACCATGACACTTTGACCACTTTTCAAACTCTTTGTTAATGCGATATCTCATGAACTGTTCTACCCAATGTCTTCAAATTTGGTGACAGAATACATTGGGGGATTACCCAGACACCAGTCGTTTTGGGTGACATTGACCTTATCTTCAAGGTCACCATGACACTTTGAACACATTTCAAACTTATTTAAACACGGTATCACATAAAACATTGCACCCAATGTTTTCAATTATGTCGACAGCCTACATTGGGTGATTATTTAGTGGCGGGCATATCAGTGGCAAACACTTGTTATCAAATGTTTTACACCTGAATTTGATATCAAGATGTTTCAAAGATTCCATTAAATTTCCTTTGCTACTAGAAAATGTGCTGAAATTGTTACTAAACTACAAGTATAATCCTTACAATTATATTTGCATTTCACGAAACTTGGGTCTTGCTGTTTCAGGCATGAATTTGGGATATCAAAGTGACAATTGATCCAACTGTAAAATACAGAAGACACTATTTATGATGACTGACTTATGTATGGATTTCCGTTGTTTGATAGAGGTTAGGGTCAGCAGATACTACTTCAACATTTTTAAGCTTGGCACATGACATGTCATTTGGTGAGGTAATTTCATCTATCATGACCATTGAGTTAAGTTTTTTAAAAAACAGCCAATAGTACTTTGCATTCTCTACTGTGTGCAGTACTGTCCATGTATTGATAGATCAGCTTTGAAATCAAGTGAAACATTTATTAAACTAGCTTAAAACTAGTCAGTTGAAAAGCATTATATATTTTTTGAACTATGTAGAAATGATGTTGAGATTCAATTGCTTCCTTATTTTTTGTGGCAGTAGTACTCAGCATTTCGTTTCTTAGGTGATTTCTTGAATGTCAAACTCTGTACAGTGAGCATGCAGTCATTGAAGTGCTTGATTGAAGCTAACATGAACAATCTTGTCACAATGCTTAGGGCATGTCTCATGTATATTTGTAATCAAATGCTTGTGTTGACAGATTTGTGTGTATGGTTGGCAGATATTGTTTGTCTTGAAAATGATGCCAGTGACCATGAAATGCATAAACTTGCTGAATTTAGAGTCTAAGAGCTCATAAATGATGTATGTCCAGCATAATTGTACAAGCGTCTATGGAGGAAAATAAAGAATGTCCTGAACAATTTTTACATGTTGCTTTTTCCTCTGCAAATAGCCAACATTAATATATCACTGCAATAAATCTTGTATTTTGGGTGCCATATCACAACAGAAGCTCTCTTCACCGTCAACTATCCAAGTACATATCTTGTTTAGCTGTGTCCTGCTCGCCAGTGCATTTGGCTCATGTGCAAGGCAAGAAACCAGACGTCTTTCCTGTGTGGTCAACATAAAGTATCTTATTTCATGCGATTATGTCTTGGTTGGGTCACGTAAGTATACTAGCTGAAAATACTGTTTCATATGAAATGGTGTAATTTTTGGTTCTTGAAAATAATGTCATAATATGCTCAACGTCTTAGCAGTCGCACCTGCACTTAATTGCAAGTACACGGACATTGCTAAAGAGAAAAATCGGAAGTTTAATATAAAGCGAGTATGCAATAACCAGAGGTAAGCTTAATGATGGACAATAAGTCGAAACAGCTTAAAATTATGAGCCATTCACTGTAGTCTGAAAATGCAGGTGGATGATTGGTGTGCAAAGGAGAGGCACAGTTGCAAGGCTTTGGGTACCATGTATTACATCAGACTAAGATTAAAGCCTAATCTTCCTATGGTTTCTAGAACTGGACAAGGAGCGAGCGAGTTTGGTTTTACGCTGCTTTTAGCAATATTCCAGCAACATCACGGCGGGGGGACACCAGAAATGGGCTTCACACATTGTACCCATGTGGGGAATCGAACCCGGGTCTTCGGTGTGACGAGCCAACGCTTTACCCACTTGGCTACCCCACAGCCCCGAACTGGACAAGGAACTTGCAGACTTCACAGTCATACAGGTGCTTGAACTGAAGACTAACTCGGCCTAAAGAAGGCACTCTTGAGAAAGTTTGGGGTATTGAATACAACACCCTATAGCTCCGGTTTTTCATAAGTAAAAGAAGGTCTAGGGACGTGTATAGCCTTGGATATGCTCGCTTTGAGGCAAGTAGTTTCTAAAATATATGGAGGCCAATAAGTGTCGGTCTAAATTGTTTTACCGTCTGGGTAGAAGATAATTGCATCTCCATATATTGTAATGGTACATATCTTTTTTTATTGTCTTAAAATTACCACCATAACTGGATATAAACAAACATTGGATATACAGTGGAATCTGTCAAATCCGGACTCTCTGTAAACCCCTTTTCTCCATAATCTGGACTACTCTGACCGCCGGCAAAATTGTTCTTTATTTTTTATGAACGCTTGCTTTATAATCCGGACTCTGTCAATTACGGACTAAAAGGACAGTCCCCCACAATCAGTTTGCTATGAGAACAATGCTTTGTTATCTGTACGTAGCTGACTAAAATAACAGTCCGTTGAATAAACATCTCCATTACTTCTGTTGGGGTCCTAATCGTGGGCGTCCTGCGAGGCCGGCACTTACACCAAATAAACATGCAGAGAGGTGCGCCAGGCGAACTTGCCGCCAATTCTCATTGTTTTGACAGTATGGGGGTCGTCTCACCATAGTGAATTTACTGAATAACATTATTTAGGAGGAGAATATGAAGACTAATGACATTTAAAGTACACTTTTAGAACAAACAAATTAATTCCTCATCTGAAGTATTTATTGTGCAAAGAAGCCCTAGTACAAATCGGAGTAAACTGTATGCAATCAAGTTAAAACTGAACCAACCTTGTGTTTATATGTACTCGAACAGAACAATTTATCTGATAGTTATTAAACATTAGGTCGTTGGCAAACCTAATGACAATATCGGTTGGAACACTTTTATTTGAAGAACAAAAGTGATTTCATACTTTAAAATACACTGGAAAAGTATATTTTTTTATGTTTTAATATGCAGTTTCCAAATATTGAATAAGATATAAAGCTGAATGATGAAATGGACAAGAGAACATTATTAACGGCATAGATGATCGTATCATGACAATTATAGGATATATACTAGTATATAATTACTCATATATCTATATAGAATTAACTCATGACCACAAACTTCATCTTGGTACAGGTAGAGTTATATCCATTAGATACTCAGCTGACAAAATCAATTAATCTGTTAGCACTCCAGAGAGGTATTTCCAATGATTGCTTACTCACGGAGGTATTTCACTGAGGTAATAAACGGGACACTTTATGATGAGATAGTATGTTAAGTAAAGTTTGCAGAACAGTCATTATGTTGGAGTTTGCCGGAGAATGTGACATCTATGTTATAATGCATTTTAGACTCCAGACTCTCTCAACATCGAGAGAATATGGTATTTGGATAGAATGTGTTTATTCATAGCTACAATATAAGAATATCAGCCTTTTTGACATTTATTTTCTGCACACACATGTAAACAGTGTCATAGAATTATTACAGTGCATATATTTCTTGATATATTTTATACTTTTCTCAAATTATTTTTTAGAAAGTAAATCCGCATGTGTGCAAGTCGCCGTGTACAGTGTATGTTGTTTATGACGCCACGTATCCCAGCAGCAGCAAAGTAGCAAACACGTCCACGCTAACCCTTAAACTAATTAATGAAAGATAAAGTTAGTGAGCTGTGTCTCTTCAACATCCCTTGGTCAAGTGCAGGTAAGTTGGAGTGAAGATAAGCCCTTACATCAAGACATAACACTATTGAAACAAGTTCAGACCTTTAATGTAGTTCCTGAAAAAATACTATCTCAATACCTTTACCACCTTTGTGGTTTAAGTCTACTTTTGTATGTGAACATCCATTTCTAATGAACCACGTTGCTTTAATACAACGTTTGAAATCTAAATCCACGTATTGGGACGAAATATCAGCACATGTTTATAAATTATCTTGTTAGTACAGCACGGCCGACCCTGATCTCCACTACTCAAACGTGTCAATCAGCTCCTTGGTAGTCCTTCACTATTGTTCCGAGCTGCCACTGTCTTATTTGTGTGTTTTGCGAAATGACCAGTACAACGTCTTTTTCTTGCAAATCTCGACCTAGTCTGTTGCACCTCTGGCGCATCCATCTTTTCAAAAAATGGAGCACCAGTTCTTGAATCTTCTGCAAGCGTTTCCTGTGCTTGAGGTCTGCTGTATCCACATATGCAGGTGCAAATATAACTCCGGCTTGTCCATGAAGAAAGTGATTTGGAGTAAGCGATGTCTCACCTTGAGGGTGAGTTGACTGGTATGCGAGAGGAATGGGATTTGTGAGAGATTCCGCTCCTGCCACTGCTGTTATAAGGTCTTCATCGGTAATGTCATTTTGCTGAGGGTGGCGAAGAAGGCATGCGTTGTTTTCATCATTGTTTCAAGTATTTGTCCAAAATTAGGAGTGTGTGGAGAACAGAAGAACCATTTTATCCCTTTATTTGCAAGAGATCTCATAGCAACATCTTGTACAGTACACTCAAACTGTCCGACCAAAATATTTGGATTTCAAAGTTCAGTGCTTTCATCACTGTCAAGGCAAATCTCAAGCCCACTATGGCGACCATCAATTCTAATCAAGGAATGCTCACAGCTTTCATCGGTGCTACAGAGCTTTTAGCTACCACTAATGCACTTGATGTGCCTGTTAGAAGTGGCTATCATGGCGTATGTTTGGAAAATGCGACATATTACCTTTCCCGCTCTCAGTGGTCTCACCAGAAGGAACTTGCGCATGTACCCTTTCTGCAAGTATTGATGTATACTACTGGAATAAAGCAACTGTGAATTGTGTAATGTTAGAACATTAGAACACCAAAATCATCGCACATAACGCCAGTTCATACGGATTTACACTGGCTTCCCATTGAAGCGAGAATCAACATTAAAGGGCCACTGATGCAGAGCAATTTTCGTGGACTGGTTGTTGCTTTTGTTATTGTTTTACTCCCGTGAGTACCCGGATGATATCCCAGAATTCATGACTGGTTCGTTACCTCTTCTGCGCCACCACCATGCGCAATTGATAGAAAACGTATAGACTGATCAACAAAGATGAAATCTTTTTTACTCGATAATCTTGATGTTGTATAATTATGTAGACTGTGATGAATAATCTGGTTTCTTATAAAAAAATATTCACTTTGATAAAAATGCTGATTTTGATGTAAAATTTTGATTTCACAGTAATGTTGACTTTATAAAAATGTTAACGTAAATGGATGTAGAATTTGATTTTAGAAATAGTTTGACCTTGAATTTAGTGAGAAGCCTGATATAATAGCATTGTTTAAAGGTAAGAGTAACTAAGTACATGGGGAGTCTTGGGGAGGGTAGTAAGCTTGGGTTCACTACTAGTCAATCTTAATGTTGTATTAAATGGCATTATTTTGATAACAAATGAAAACATTTTAAGTTTAACCATCTGCCAGTGGTAAAAAATGTTAGGACACTGAAATAAGTCAATGTACGTCTTTATATTTTGTCTTATAGTCCTTATTAGTTTATTATCATATCTGTATGCATTTTGAAACTAAATAAAATGCACACGATCTGCTTATACTTAGTGAATTTATAACATGACTGTAATATCTAGACGTGTATCATATTTCACACACACGCCCTAAGTGCGATCTAGTGTATGTTGTCTGTCTTATTACCTTTCACGGCAAAAAATGATTCTGTTGAATGCCATAACAAATAGATTAAAACAAAATGCTAATATTAAAATTAAAACAGACTAAAGTTACAGCAACAATATCAGGTAATTACCTTGTTAGGGGAATGTATCCATCAATATCCACATAAAGTAACGAGATGCCATTCATCTGCAGCTGACAAAGAATCATGTTCCATGTCATCCGCTTTTAACGGTCTAATATGCGTAAAAGTGATCTGTCGTTTCAGGTTTTTCACATTGGTGTATCCCATTATCCCATTGGTCACCCAAGATAGTACACCTGGCAAGTAATTGCATGATGTCCGCCATTAGTTAGCCAATAATGACCTACCAATCAAGGTTTTAGCGGTTAATCCTTTGAAGGAAGGACGTTGTTTTTACAAAGAAACTTTACGACAGGGTGTATTCAGTATAGGTTA